TATCAAAATTCATGTGGGTACTCAAATAAAAGCTCTTGATGAGTGTAACATCGACATGAGCTTATATCCTTAAAAACGTCAATAGTTAAGAAAGTACAGTGCAATTTAACAAAATTCATTATTTAGCAAAGCAAAAATTTTATTCATTTATAGTTCACAAGTCATGGTAGTCACATAGTGACTGCAAGGATTGCCACTATATATATATATATATGTGTATATATATATATATATATATATTGACATATAGATAAATGAAATGGAATGTAACATGATAGATAGACTTGCAGACAGACAGACAGATAAATAACTAATCGGCATAAATTAAGCAACGCAAAGAATTATTATTTATCTGTGACATTTGATAAGTTGAAAAATTTTATTCGTGAGACCGTGAATTAAGGACGGACATCGGCACTCGTCTGATGTAGATAACTACTACTTGTACATGCAGGGTCACAGGTCACAACAATGGACAATTTAATTTGCATAATTTATAATTCTTCAAGTAGAACTGACAATGAAATTCTACTTGTTAACTTTCGAATTATTAAATTACATTAATAATTTTTTTTATTGATGATTTATTTAATATTTAAATTAAGTTTTTTTTTCAGGAAACATTTCATACTACAGCACAGTCGTTCTTATCGAACGGTTCGTCGGAATTAATAGGCGAAGATGTTGACTCGAGTGGAGCTAGAGTTCGCCAGGCGATAGAACAAACGCAAAATAAAATAACAAAGACTCGAGAGCTGATACGTACAGAGCAAAAAACCCGAGATGGTAAGAGTTTTATTTTATCGCGAGTAATTTGACCGTTCATAATATAAATATGACAATTTTATTTATTAAATAAATATACGCTTGCGTGACATTATCGGCGTAATTTAATACTCGGGTGGAAAAAAAAATGCGGATAATAAATTTTATTTAGTAAAAAATATTTATTGTCTTATTAATTTATCGGTTGCATGTTGTAGAAAATGTCAATGAGTATCTTAAACTCGCTGCGAATGCAGACAAGCAGCAATTGGCGAGAATAAAGACGGTATTTGAGAAGAAGAATCAAAAGTCTGCTCACAATATTGCTCAGCTGCAGAAGAAATTGGATAGTTATACGAAAAAATTGAGAAATTATGAGATGAACGGCGCGCCGACGAGTCATCGCCAGCCCCGAGAGGTTCTGCGAGACATGGGTCAAGGATTAAAGTAAACGTTCACTTTTATTTTTTCCTATACTGTATCAGATGCCTTTTATTTATTTTTACTCCTATCTCTATCAAGCGGAGATGAATTACTCTTAGAAGTAGACCTAGACTCAACTCCGGGGCTATAAATACCTTAAATACATGTAATGCCACATTCAAATGAATGTAAATGGAATTTATAAATAGCTCACAATGTTAAGGACGTAAATGTAGCTCTATAGATACATAAATAAAAAAATTTATCCGTCTAATTTAAGATTGTCTTCCAGAAACGTGGGCGGTAACATTAGGGACGGAATAAGCGGATTTTCGGGGTGAGTTTTATACTAAAATAGATCAATCACTTTCACTAATCTAAAGCTAAAACTAAAAGTTAATAAATCAATTTATTTTTATTTATTGCTTTCATTTGAGCACGCACATGACCCTCTTATATATTTTATATATATGATATTTGTGAAATATATAAAAAATTGATGGGGGTACTCAAATGAAAGGTCTTGATGAGTAGAGCGTCAGGATGAGCTTATATCGTTAAAAATTTCATCAGTGGACAAAATACAACGTCACTTCTTAATTCTTGATATTTTTTAAAATATAAGCTCATCCTGATGTTAGGCTCATCGAGACCTTTCATTTGAGTACGCACACGATTTTATATATATATATATATATATATATATATATATATATATATATATTATTTCTCATATTTGTGAAATATATAAAATATATCAAAAATTCATGTGGGTATTTAAATGAAAGGTCTCGATGAGTATAGCTTCAGGATGAGCTTATATCGTTGAAGATATCATCAGTGGACAAAATACAATGCTATTTCTTAATTATTGACATTTTTAAAGATATAAGCTCATCCTGGAGTTATACTCATCAAGAGCTTTCATTTGAGTACCCACATCAATTTTGCATATATTTATATATATCATATATATGTATATATGAAAAATATATCAAAATCCATGT